GTTCATAAATGATAAGTGCTTCTTGCATGTTCCAACATTTCTCGTCCAAACTATTGTATAACATACTTTGCAAATTGCAGTTCGCAGTGGAAAGATAAGGTACTCGCATCGCTTTTGACGGGTCAAGAGGAGCAAAATGGCAGCCCAGATGCTAAGAAAACTACACCAAAAAGAGTTTGTTTCAGCATCTATTTTTTCACTTGTTTCATATATTTTGAAGTTATCTTGATTCTCTTCTGTTTTGCTTTTCACATAGATAGTCCCTTCACGTGCCTTTTCTAGAATAATGGGTGTTTCAACTGTGATGGAAACCATCACTTGAACGAGTGTCCTGAACCAAAAGACTTCAAGAAAATCAGGCAGCGTCAGACTGAAATGCGCAATAGAAGCAACAATACGTAAGCTGTTTCATGAACGTATATGGAAGCAAGATTTTGTCATTCTCGATTTTAGTCCGAGATACCTTGACAGTCAATCAACAGAGAAGAAATTTCGTGCTGGTCGCATAAGCGACAATTTGAGGAAAGCTCTTGGTATAGGTCACCATGACATTCCAGAATATGTTTATCGTATGCGTAGGATGGGTTTTATCCGTGGATATCCTCCTGGCTACTTGAGAAAGTGAGATACGCAGGACTTATACATTTTTATGTTCATTTGCTTTCTTGGGAAGCTTCCATCTTTACTTATATCATGAAAAAAATCTATGAAGGGCTATCGATCGGGATGACTCTAATGACGTGTTGAAATTCCACATGGTAGACGAAATGGCCACTGATTCCGACGAGATAGTTGAGCGCCCTGATTCTCCACCACCTAAAATAAATGCTGATAAGATGATCTATTATTGCGGCTTCAATCAGACTTATCGTGATTTGAGAGATGTCAGTGCAATGCAAGTTTCTTGAGTGGGAGAGTTTATCGTCCTCATTGCTCATTACAGTTGGAGAATTTCCGTGTGCCACCATTTTTGGAATTTGTTGCATTTCATCAAGAGACGCTGATCAAAGAGCATAAAAGAAAGATGGAGGAACGCAGGAGAATGCGCGAGCGAATGGCAAGAATAGCCAAGAAGCGTGAAGCAGGTGAGAAAACCTTTTTGCAAATCAATATTGATGTTAGAAAGGATTTCGTTTGCTTTTATGTGTATTCGAATTCCGCATGTTTATCCTGTTATGCATTTATTGTCATACTGTATTCATCTTTGGGTTTCGTGTTAAAGTCAGCGGCTCGGCAGAATTTCCTTTTTTCAATTTTTCACCTTCTCGAGGTCTTCTCGCCATGAGGAACACATATGTGGGC